TACTTCGTGACTTTCATTGATGATCACACGAGGAAGGTATGGGTTTATTTTTTGAGGCACTAATCTGAGGTATTTGATGTGTTCAAAAAGTGGAAGGCCATGATGGAGAATGAGACAGGTTTGAAGATTAAGCGGTTGAGATCAGACAATAGTGGTGAGTATGAAGACACTGGGTTCAAGAAGTTCTGTTTGATAATGGGATCAGATTAGAGAGGACTGTGCAAGGAACCCCACAGTAGAATGGGGTGGCAGAACGGATGAACCGAACATTGATAGAAAGAGCCAGAAGTATGCGCATACATTCAGGTCTACCCAAACAATTTTAGGCAGAAGCAGTCAATACAGCATCCTACCTAATTAATCGTGGACCATCGGTGCCTTTGGAGCATCGAATACCAGAAGAGGTATGGAGTGGCAAAGAGGTAAATCTTTCATGGTTGAAAGTTTTTGGTTGTATTGCATATGCGCATATTAGTGACCATGCTAGGGGAAAGCTCGACCCCAAGTCACTAAAATGCATCTTCGTTGGGTATGGTGGAGATAAGTTTAGTTATTGACTCTGGGATAATCAGAACAAGAAAATCATCAGAAGTATAGATGTGATTTTCAACGAAAAGGTGATGTACAAGGATAGAGATGCAGCACAGTTAACTAGTCTTATACAGAGTAAGCCTGAGTTTGTTGAGTTGGATGATAAGCCAGAGAGCATTGATGCGGAGCAGACAGATGAGGGTTCTTGGCCAAAACTCACAGAGCATAGTTCACCGCAGATTCCAACTCCTATGCCTGCACCCAAAAGGTCTACGCGACCTCATGTACCGAATAGGAAATATTTGGATTATATGTTGCTCACAGATGATAGTGAGCCTGAATGGTATGATGAAACATGTCAAGTTGAAGATGCTAGCAAGTGGGAGCTTGCAATGGAAGATGAAATGAAGTCCCTTATCTCAAACAAAACATGGGAACTATCCAAGTTGCCCATGGGGAAGAAAGCTCTTCACAACAAATGGGTGTACGGGGTGAAAGAGGAACATGATGGTTCCAAGAGATACAAGGCGAGAATGGTGGTTAAAGGCTTTTAGCAAAAGCAAGGCATTGACTACACAGACATTCTTTCCCTGGTTGTGAAACTGAGTGTGATACCCCTCGATTCTAGAGCCACGGGTGATCAAGTCCGAGCACAGATCCGAAGGATATCAAACAATTAATATTTAATCGAACACAGGTGACAAAATGAATTTAATAAATAAAGTGTAAGCTGGAAGAAACTAAAAGTAAAATCATTTATAATTAAATACTTAGAATCTGATAATCCAAAACTCCATCAGTTTAACAACTCGGGAATCCATCTCTAATGGACCCCTAATAAAAATCCCAAACTAAATGAAAGTAAAAACTGAAAATAAAATCCAAATCTAATATTTGGAAAGAAATCCTACGTCGTCGGTAGAATGGAAGATCGTCTCTGCTCAGCACGAACAAGCTCTAGACTAGAAATGTCCGATACCTGAAAAATGATGAGTGGGTCAGGCCCACATGCAAGTTCTATACTGCTACTACCCAAGCAGAGACCCGATACGCATGTACATCCAAACCAATCCAATAATAGCTAATAGTCCGTAGATAAATATATATATAATCACACTACAGGACTCTCACTGGACTACAGGCCTGTCTCAACCTGACTAGTAGGCACCATGCGAAAACGGACCCAAAGGTGGGCATGACTACCTAGCCCTAGCAGGGTACACATCCAACCATCATAGCCAGCTATGCATCCCAATGCATATACGCTCCCTAACCAACGACTCTGAGACTCAGGCTCATATCGTGGCATCATAAAAATATATTTAAATTCCATTCCAAACCAAAGTGCCACTCAATTATTTATTGATCTGACACAAAATATAGGTTGGACTTAACTTTTGTAGTTAATCCGTCCCTTAATCCAGAGTAGGTAGGACTTAGCATTTTTGAGCTAATCCCCCTAGTATGACACCGTCCCATACCGGTGTATACAAACCATCCATCCAATATTGATAATATATATATGATAACATAACATATCAATATCAACATATCCAATCATAAGCATAACAAGAATGTTTAATTAGCATGCTTGTTCAATACATCCAGTACCTGATTCTCTAACAAATTTTTAAGTGCAGAGAAGAAATATAACCATCCTGTAACTCATAATAAGCATAATAATAATAACAATAGTATATACATGCTTACTTGTAATTTCTCCACAACATCCCACAAGTTGACATAAACAAATTCTTGGTAACATCAACTAGTTTCATATTAAATATTAACTCAATTTATATTAGTTAATAGGCTTAATCCCATACCACTGATATATGACTTACATACCAAACTCCTAATTCAATTGCTAATTTAAAATTAATCAACTTGAATCATCTACAAAATTTCAACCATGTAAACTTCCTTAAAAGTGTCTTACTGTCACTTATAAATATATATAATCATTCTGTAATCTAATAAACTTAACTTAAATTACAGAAAGATGATTTAACAATATTACCATTCCCAGATAAATTAATTATCCCCACAAAACATGCTAGAGCAGAGTATATATATAGAAACATACTGATTTAAGTCTACTCTAACAACTTTTCATAATTGACAACACATCTAATGTATGCAACTGTCAATCTATCCACAACAAGCAAAATTAAATATTTGTAACCTTGCATGCTTATATAGAATTTTTGAACCATAATATCCGTATTCCATTCTCAAGAATTACCATATAAAGACTTAGCAATTTAATCATCTTTTACATCCGAAAACTGTAATCTAGTTTAGTTAAACTTTACCTATTAATCAAGAATGAACCTCAACTTGTTTAATTTGTTTTAGTTTGTTCCCTGAAGTTTTTATAAGCTTTTAGAACATCACTAAACACTCCATTACAGCCTCCAACAGAATCTGAAATTACCAAAATCCAAGTCTCGTAGCCCAAACGGTTGCCTAAAACTCAGAAAAATGGAAAAACTGGAAACCTGTTGAAGGAGCCGGCTCCACACAAAGTGGAGCCGCCTCCACTACCAAGTAGAGCCGGCTCTACTACAAAGTAAAGCCTGCTCCACTTTTTAATTGAGCCTGCTCTACTTGAAATAGAGCAGGCTCCTTCCCCTGTGCGTCATTTTTTCCATCCCGGCGGTGTCCGGCTGTGTTGATTCTCCAAACCAAATTTCTTGCTAATTAAAATTAAGTCATTGGGTGTTCAAAAGTTAATTAATTTCCTTGATTAATAATCACATTCAGTGGGAACAAGAATTAAACAGAATAATTTAAAAACGCTTAACATGTACCTAAAAGAAAACATACTGTTCAACTTCTTCTCCAACTCCGGCCACTTTGTTCCTCCAACCCACGTTTCCTATGGATTAAAACTAAGTCCCAAAGGGCTCTAAAGTTGTTTAAGTTCATTACTTATTATTCAAAACCATATGAAACAAGAATTTCGCAAAACCGTTTCTAAGTGGATTAAAACCCCTACAAGAACACATACTGTTCAAATTGGTTTAATCTTTCAAACCCACTTTCTTTCTAGTTTAAAACTAAAACCCAAGATGCTCTTGAGTAATTTCAATTCATTATTCATGAATTAAATTCAATTTGAAATAAGAATTAAACACAAACAGTTTAAAAACGAAAAAAACACACATACAAGAAAATATACTGTTATGAAACAATTTACGTGTAAAGCAATTTAATTTAATCTTTATTTCATCCTGAGACTGTATTAGGGATGCAAAGAACACAGGTCAAAGAGATAGAGTTAGTTATAGAACTTGCCTTACACCGACGGTTCTTCACAAGTTCTCCGGTAACCTCTCTGTTTGCTCTTTCTTTCTCTGTTCCCTCTATGCCTCCTTACGTTTTTGTTTAATTGTTTCTCTAAACCCTAAACCACCGTAATGAGCCTATTTATAAACTTAAACTTTAAACCCTAATCCATGTATAATACAGCCCATAAGCAAACCTAGGTTATACACTGTCGGCTGTCAATGCAAACTATAAACCCCGTGAAACTATATTCAAGTGGAAACCAATTTAAATTTAATTTAACTTAAAACAATTTAATTACACCACATTAATTCCTCATTTATATTAAATTTTATAAATTCAAAGTAACATAAACAAAGAAGTAATTAAGTCAAATTATCATAAGCAAAGAAGTAAATTAAAACCATTAGAGAAAATAGAACAATTAACTTAAAGTAAATCCCTAATTAAATAAAGTAAATCAATTAAACTTTAAAATGCAATTAAATAAATTCCAAAACTATCCTTCTAAAAATTAAGGGTATTATACTGAGTACCATTCGCTCAGTTCTTAGCATTGTTGCAGCAGAGGGGTTGCACCTTGAACAGTTAGATGTTAAAACTGCTTTCCTCCATGGTGACCTTAAGGAGGAGATTTACATGTAACAACTGGCGGGTTTCTCAGTCAAAGGGAAAGAGAAACTAGTGTGCAAGTTGAAGAAAAACTTATATGGTTTGAAGCAAGCCCCGAGGCAGTGGTACAAGAAGTTTGATGGTTTTATGAAGCGACATGGCTACAACAAGTGCAATGCTGACCATTGCTGCTACTTCAAGAGGTTCAAGTCAAGTTTCATTATCGTTCTACTTTATATTGATGACATATTAGTGGCAGGTTCTGATTTTGAAGAAATTAGCAAATTGAAGAAGCAGTTGTCTAGTGAATTCGAGATGAAGGATCTTGGTGCAGCGAAGCAGATTTTTGGGATGAGGATTAGCAGAGACAAACATAAAGGTATTTTGCAGTTGTCTCAGGCTGAGTACGTTGAACGGGTTCTGAAGAGGTTCAACATAAATAATGCTAAGGCGGTGAGTACTCCCTTAGCTAATCACTTCCGCTTATCTCAAGAACAGCGTTGGAAGACAGAAGATGAGAAAAACTTTATGGCAAAAATTCCATATGCCTCAGCCATTGGGAGTTAATGTATGCCATGGTGTGCACAAGACTAGACATTGCATATGTAGTGGGAGTAGTAAGCAGGTTCATAAAGGATCCAGGCAAGTTACACTAGGAAGCAGTAAAGTGGATATTGAGATATCTACGGGGTACCACAGACAGATGTTTATGTTTCAGAAGGGGTGAAGTGAAGCTACATGGTTATGTAGATTCATACTTTGTTGGTGAGGTGGACCATAGAAGAAGTACTACCGAGTATGTGTTCATGGTGGGTATAACTGCAGTTAGTTGGGTTTTGCAAATACAGAGGATTGTAGCGTTATCTACTACAGAGGCAGAGTATGTGGTGATGACAGAGGCTAGCAAGGAGATGATTTGGTTACAAGGTTTGTTAACAGAGTTGGGATTCGAATAGGTGAAGAATGTTTTGCACAGTGATAGTCAGAGTGCGATACATCTGGCAAAGAATTCAGCATTTCATTCAAGGACCAAGCATATAGGAATTCGGTATCACTTTGTCAGATCTTTGTTAGAAGATGGGATGTTGACACTTGAGAAAATACTTGGCACTAAGAATCCGGCTGACATGTTGACCAAGATAGTGACCATGGAGAAACTGAAGTTGTGCACAACTTTAGTTGGTCTTCTAACTTGAAGACAGAAAGAAGCGCACCGACATGTATGGGACATGCATGAGAAGCAGATGGAATGGGTTTACAAGTGCTCCAGACTCCAAGTGGGAGATTGTTGTGGTTTTTGTGGGGTCTGATTAGGTGGAAAATTTTTAGGAAGATTTAATTATATAGAAACTTCAAAAGTATTGAATTTTAGGGAAAATTCAGTTTCCTAATCTGTTAGGGAAAATTCAGTTTCCTAATCTGATTTGACTTCCTTATTGGTTTATGGAAAATTCAGTTTCCTGATTTGATTTAATTTCCTTATTGGTTTTGGATTCTACAAAAGGTAAGTACTTATAGAACAAGTTTGGGACTCTATAAATAGGGGTGAAAATTAGAGATAAAGGTGTGCCAATTCAAGAGAGAGCAATTGAGAAAGATTGAGAGATAATTCTCCTTGTAATTCTTCATCTTTTTCATAGTGAATTTGTTCGGTGTGCTCCATGAACGTAGCACTAAGATCTGGGTGAACCATGTATATCTTGTGTTCTTGTGTGTGATTTTTTTTTCTTTGTGATTGCTTGATTATTCCTCGAACAACGTGCATTGTTATTTTGCGTTTCCGCCACAACAACTGGAATCAAAATTCGGTTGATTGTGTAGTGCAACTCTAACAACAAAAACAGCACAGGTATGATAATAATGCTCTTCAGTCTAGTCTTCGTATTCACTATAAAATCATAGGGTTTTTTTTTTCATATTTTTATTTTATTTGGTATAATCCACTACGAGCATTGATCCACCACCTACTCTTTGAGGGTGGAGAGGTTATATTGCTGGTCTAATGGGTCATTTTAATTTTGAACATGTAAAGTACTTGATATATATGTAACGTTACTTATCAACAATTCACCAAAGTGCTACAAAAGGGTGATGTGTTTGTTTTCCCAGTTGGTCTCATCCACTTCCAGAGAAATGTGGGACACCGTAATGCTGTTGCCATTGCAGTTCTGAGCAGCCAAAACCCAGGTGTTATCACTATTGCAAATGCAGTGTTTGGGTCTAAACTAGATATTTCTAGTGATATCCTCGTCAAGGCTTTCCAGTTGGACAAGAATGTTATCACTTACATGCAGTCCAAATTCTAGACAAGAAGTATAGGAAAAAGGAATGAACAGAATCTCCACCTAAATTTTGTGTGTAGTCTGCCTATAGTTTCTTGAGTTCATTTGTTTCAACTTTTCATTCTTTTGTATGTGACTATAATTGATTCATTTGTCATATTTTTGTTTGTCAAAATAATTATGAAAAAAAAAATTAATTACTTTGAAATAGCTTAGTTATGAAAGATTATTTTCCTTCGGACAAATTGCATAAAACCCATTGAAGTATTAAATTTTCTTACAAAATCCCCTTCCCTAACAAAAGATTTGACCTAAAACTCTCCAGGACTATTCAATTTTTCCATCATGCCACCTAAGTCAGGACGTTAACGTTTAGAATTGGATTAATGGTGAGTTGAAAGAACCAAACTACTCAATTGAGTAGTCACAAATTTAACAGCTTGAAATCTAAAATGTTTTATAATAAAGCCATAAAAGACCTAAGAATTGTACACAGAACAAAGGTAGTAGTAGCATGAGATGTTGTAGATATACAAACTAACAAAAATGAAAAGTAAATTCAACAAACGTCTTTAAATTACTAATTTCTGGAGAAAGAGAGAGAAACTTCATTACATTAAGTGGTATTGCAATATGATATATAATGGAAACATTACATATTGTTAACCTTCTTCTTCAACTGCATCAGCTCTGTAAGAATAGGAATTTTCACTTATCGAGCAATAGTTATCCACGCTATTGTGCTTGACCAATGGTTTCTCTTGTATCTTTATCAAGCGATCCAGTTCTGCTGCTACTTCTTTTATATTTGGCCTTTTCCTTGCATTTAGTTTTATGCATTTTTTAGCAAGAGTATCAACGACTTGAATCTCCTCTTCCTTACCGTCATTCACAACTATTGTCTCTAGAGTTTCAAACAGTCGATTCTGTTTCATTGATGATCGAAAGTTAAGTACAAGACCTTCATCAGATCTATCAGAAGAGACAGCCTTTTTTCCGGTTAGTAGTTCAGCAAGAATGATGCCAAAGGCATAAACATCACTTTTATCAGTGAGTTGTCCTGATCGAAAATACTAAGGATCCAAGTAACCAAATGTACCCCCCACCAATGTTGTTAAGTGAGTCTTGTTAAGGGGTACTGACCTTGAAAGTCCAAAGTCGGACACTATAGCCCTATAATTTTCATCCACCAGTATGTTGCTAGACTTTATATCTCTATAAAAGATAGCTGTAGAAGCATATGAGTGCAAATAAGCAAGTGCTCCCGCAATGTCCCCTGCAACTCTCAAGCGATTATTCCAAGACATAGAACCATAACCCTCATTGTGAAGATGGTCGGAGAGGGTGCCATTTGAGACATATTCATACACTAACATTGGAACTTCAGTCTCTAAACAACAACCTAACAATTTCACAATGTTCCTGTGATTTATGTGAGAGAGGATAATGACTTCATTAATGAATTGACCAACTTGAGTTTCATCGACAATGTTAGATTTCTTAACGGCCACTATACTTCCATCTGTTAACATACCTTTATAAACTGTACCAAGTCCTCCCTTGCCAAGAAATTGACTTTCATTAAAATTGTCCGTTGCCTTATCCAACTCTTCTACTATGAAAAGTTTTGTTTTCATCACACTTTTGTTACTCGAAGAGATCTTTTGTTGCAATAACAAACCTCCATTCCTCCTAAAGAACTTGTGCTTCATTTTCTGTTTTTGTTTTTTCTCAAGTTTACGGTACAACCATAAGCCAATAACGATCAAGACTAGTACACCAATTGTAGTACCAATGCCTGCATGTGCTGAAGAATTAAGCACAATTTCACGAAGAGGAGAGAAAAAGGGAATGGGGAAAGGATTTTACCTAAAGAAACATATACTGCTAACATTTTTTTAGGTATGCAGTCAGTTCCATCTCCACGAATGCTGCGGTAACCAGGTTTGCACTTGCACGAGTAGTTACCTACTGTATTGACGCAAATAGCATCCTTTGGGCAAGTTTTGGTATTCGGATCCTCGCACTCATCAATATCTTTTGAGAAGACAAGAAAAATTAATTGTATATGAGATATAAGTTATTCAAATTTGAATATTAAAGAGTAAATGATATAACAGAAGTGTTCTCAATGATTATTCCGATTCTGCTTGTGATAGTCATCACTATCAAATATGGCACCTCTAAACTAGGGTGGCAATTTGTATAAAGTAAAAGTAGAAACTAAGTTATGCTAAAGTGCTGGATGAAAATCAAAGCACTTAGTTTAGGGATTGAATGGGTTCTGGATTTATAAGGGGGCATGAGCCCAGTTCATCAGCCATCACAATGGTTTCAAAGTTGGACTAGTTCCTTATCGATGTTGGTCTGTCGTAATTTGGTTGTAAAGGAAAAAACATTTTGAGATTTAAAAAAATAAAAAAATAAAAAATAAAAATCCAAAGGTAGAATTTTACTGCTTAATTTTGGCATGATGCAATTATTTTACTTTGATTTTTGAATGAGACTTAAATTTTGGAATACACAAATTATAAAAAATGGACAATCGTTTTGAGATAAATGAAGGTGTCTTATTACTCCCTTTTGGTATCTAGTTTTAAAGAATGCATGTAACTATTGTTAGAGGTGGAGGCTCTGATGGTGGTGGCTTGTAGAGGGGGTGGAGCCAGAAATTTTAACTTTGGTGGCCAAGAAATACTGCCTAATTAAATTTAAAATATTTAACGATCATAGCCCTGCCTAATCACAATTCGACATCCAAACGGTGGGGGAAGAGGAGAGAAGGAGGTGGTGGCCTTCACCAGGAAGAGAGAAGATGGGTGATGGCGACTTCTAATATTAGATGATGTAAATTTATGAAAAGGGTAATGGTATAATCTCATTCAAATAAGGGCAACCAATATAAATATTTTCCCCGCATGGACAAACATTTTATTTACCGTTAATCATAATTTTGACAAAGTCAATTTATTCGTGCAGAAGGCATAAACATCGAGAAAAATATATAATGTTATATTTGAAAACATTGAATTGGTGTCTGGATTTAGGATTGAAAGAAATTTAGTTCAAAATTTGTACTAAATTTTTTTCAATCTCAAATTCAAGTGCCGATATGATGCGGCCAAATATAAAACAAGTGTAATCCAAAAGAATGGAATAATTACATACACATGGATTTTTGAAATGTTATTTACCATTTTATGTAGTCAGGGTCATGAATTTAGCCAAAATACTACTGTAGACATGAAAAACACTATTTATTTATCCAAACTACCTTTCATATTTACATGTACCACTTTTGTATATGTAAGTATTACTCTTATGTACAGAGGTGCCGCTTTTTGTACACGCGGTTATCTTTTCTTTTCTTTTTTTTAATCCAGACCATTTTGATGACATGATCGGCACAAAAATGGTACTTATGCACGTAAGAGTGGTACCTCTGTGCACAAGAATAATACTTACATGTACAAAAACGAAACATGAAAATAGTAAGAGCAGTATGGACAATAAACAATATTTTTTTATATCTACATTAACAGTTTCGTCAAATTTATTTTTTTGAAACATTGTCATTTGATTCTATAAAATAGTAAATAGCACTCTAAAAGTTAACGTATATGTAGTTATATCTAAAAAATATACATCTAGCATGTACCAATAATTTAAAAGATAAGATCGTTTATCTAGCATTTATGTAGTTGTGGTATATATGGCTGATACAAGAATTAAGCATATATACACACACGTAACAAGAACAAAGAAATGATAAGGTAGGGAATACTGAATTGACAACTTGAATTTAGAATTAATAAAAAAAAACTTGAACTAAACTTCCTCTATTTCTAAATTCAAGTGACCTATTCAGTTCTTTCCAAACCCAACAAAACTGTTTTATACATACCTTGGCATCCATTTTTGAGGTAAGGGTTTCCTTGATAACCTTGAGAGCAGCTACATTTATATCCGATGACATCATCGTATCGTTTTGTACAGTAACTGTTGCGGCCACATGTATGGTCTTTTCTTCTGCTAGCTTCATGGCAATCAGAGATGTTGTCCCCAATTGCCCAATCAAGCAACAGTGGGACTGGGACACGAGACAAGAAATCTTCGTCCGGAATACTAAAGGTTTTGAATTTGTTGAAATCTGAAAAGTTCCTTTCGGCAATGAAAGCAATAATGCATGGCTTGGAGGCCAAGAACCGATCACTGCTATTCATGTTCCGGATGAGCAAATCAAAAGACAAGAACTCGTTTGGAAGAATAGTCTGGCAGCAACCAATGCCGGAGCAAGAAGACAGACCATTATTTGTCCAAGAAGGATTAATAACCAGGCTCGTGTTATAGCAAAGGGATGTGCACCCAGCTATGTAAGCCGTATTGTTTATATCAGCGATATAAGCAAAGATGTCATATCCGATGGCTACCAACTTATTGTAGTGGTGCGAGACACGAAATGGCTGCCCCAACTTACTATAATTCAAAGCTTCACCAAAATAATAACAATTTCGAGCTGAGTACTTCTTCTTCTTGTTGTGACAATTAACAAGAACCATGGCATTAACACGCACATGTTTTGCTCCGATATGGAACAGTTCAACATCTCCCAAATAGGGGAGAGTCGCGGGATGTGATGATGATTCATTGCATCTGACTTCAAACCTTTCGTCCCGGTAAAATCCTTTCCCTATGCCAAATGGATATGGCACGCTCACGTTCCTGCATTTCTCTTGGCACTGCTTGGACTTCACCATAGATATAGAGACGGCTGATCTTGTTTCCTTTACTAGTAGTAGGAAAGTCAGTACTACTACTAATGAGTAGATGGTGTTGGATATTAGATAATGTACCTGAAGCTGGACTATTTGCAGAGCCGCCATTGATCTTTTGCTGCTCCGACACCGGCCAATTAATTCATGCACAGATAGATTATATATATATATATAGAGAGAGAGAGAGAGAGAGCTTGTGGGGAACAGCTAGCTAGCCCAGCATTGTCTACCTCTATATATATTAACACT